TACATTCGGTATATCCTATGATGTATTATGTACAGCCAGTCCCATAAGTATTCGTACCCTATGTATTTATTGAAGACATTTATTTAATACACCATATTTTGGTTTGCTTTCTCGTGCTATTTCAATAAGAAAATTTCACTAGGACTTACTGTAGGAAATTAGGACTGAACTTTGTACGATAGTCGAGGTAGCATTTTCCCAAGCCCCTGTTTTTTATTGCTTTAGGTCCATACTCTTTGAATACGACTCCAAGCAATATGTAATCGAAGTTCTATCATAGTAGTTCTGTCCTCTCGACGACGTAGTATAACAGAGTTCGATAATATAGCCATCTTTCCAACATCAGTAGAAGTTATCTACCTACTAGAACTACCACCTATCGGGTGGTGTTTACGTATAAACACGGTACCGTGCTACAAGGGGAAACGAAAGGTAGTAGTGGAGGAACATAATAATTTTTTCGATAAAATCAGTTATTTACAGAAGAAGATGGAAAACTTTTATGTCCTTGTAGTGTCTCAGACGTCGTGTGATTCTGAAATATGAGTAATGATCGCTATAGGGCATACTGCTTTGCATTTTATACGGTGCGAATTTTAGAACCTTGCTCTACTCTCTTCGAAGTTGCTTTATAGTTAAAGTCGTGCACGCTTAATTAACTCTGTAATACGTACCACTGACTAACAAACTCTAATCGATTAACTACCTCCTCGATCACGTTACAAACCTAACATTCGTGTGCTTACGTCACATAATTGTGTCATATGTATATATTATACTATACCATACACTACATTATTTAATCAGTAGATCGTTGTATAGTGACCATAACACACATGAATCTCACTCACCCTTGCGTTATACCTATTGACTAATTAACTAAGGAAGTGAGGTAACAGAAATTGCTTCATTGTCATAATGAATACCCGGTTCCACCGATGACGTGTGCTTCTGGCGTCTTACTACTTTGGCCTCAATAGAGATTGACGTATCATAAGCTGACGGGTAGGACAGTCGTAATCAGTGGCTCGATAGACGTGCCACCCCTGGACTCAATTTTTTTGTAGCTCTATTTATTGAGAATTTACGACGTGTAAAGCTGTCGTATCGTCGAAATCTACTTTTATTTCTTTAATTTTTTTAACGAGTTCATTCGCCATGTTAGAACAAAATACGATGCATGTGTAAGAAATTATATCGTGTTAAAGCAAGGTGAGATGCGGCTGCTTTACCACCTGATCTCAATTTCAAAATTGCACTGTTCCAAACGGTCACTACTATTTTGTCATTCCAGTAGCTCGATGATTCTTCTTAAAAAATTGTTCGTGCTTCACGGGTAGAAATTTATATAAGCGTAACATCATTTTTAATTCACACAAAGTATTTTAAAACGTCTGGGGATGACAAGGTAAATATACGCTTATTGTCTATCTGATATTTGCAGTTTGGTACTGATAAGATATTAGATACCGATGGTGGAGACATGTGTCGGGGATAGTCAGCCTTCTGCTAGCCCTCAGTCCGATTGATAACTTAGCCTTCGCACTCATTCTCCGAAAAACACATTTTGTCACCTTATTAACACGAAGAAATGTATTATTATATAGTTTTAAATAGATTCTAAGAACACTCGTGAGTCCATTAGCTTCGTTTTATATTTATTTTCGTGCACGATCTTAGAAAACAACATGTACCAAATTTCAATTGAAAAATATGAAAGTATTTGAATTGCTCAAGGATTCTTAAACCGAAGTTCATTCTCCCCAAAACACTCCAAATTGCATTTAAAACCTCTAAATCAAATCTCACTTCGGAGGAGTCCAGTAACAATTTTCGAGAGACACTAGAAAGCTTGAGAAACACTGCAGTAGGGGATGAAAACACTCGACGAGGTTATTCAAGATACATGGGAGTTTGAGTTGACGCTTTCTCCGTGCAAACAATCCGCGGGAAATTCGCACACCTCGGGGCAACCCCGTGTCGCGCCGCGAAACGATTTCCATCGCTCGTCGTAACTCGCTCCGCCGCTCAGGATCGCTCGATAATGGTCGGAGATCCGTGGAACGGCGGGCAAATAACGCAACGACGAGGCGAATCGTTCGAAACGTTGAAACGAAATAGGAGTTGGGGTGGCGACGGTGGGAAGACACGACGAGACAGCCGCGGCGGCGAATAGAGAGCGTGTTCTCGCTTGGAAAAGTCATAAAAGTTTGAATGAAAAGTGACTCGGGTTCTCCATGACTTCTTAACCACGGCTGCGATTTATTCATAGGTATGGTCGCGGCACATGTCCCCTATGCCGCGCATTCGGTAAAAAGTTTTCTCCCGCGGTACGAAATATTTAATAGGGGTTAGAAAGGGGGGGGTCTCTATCGATCCAGGTAGCATTTCTGTCGCGCCGTTAATACCGCGAGCGGACAAAGGGGGACCGCGGTTTTGCTCGTCGACCCCGGTCGATTTAACGCGGCTGGATTAAAAAGTTAGATTAGTTCCAGGAACTTGGATGACGTATCGAGCCAAGGAAAATCTGCGACCGGCCGCGGGCAGAATCTTCGGCTCGGATTTACCTCCTGTTAACCCACCATTGGCTGCGTTGTGCTTTGTAAACGGGGCTACGGGTGAACGTTCACCAACAGACTCTTGGCTTACGACTCGCTTCAGACTGGGGCTGAATTTTTAATTAAATTATGCACTGCATTCTATTATATATAGTGAGATACTTTGTTTGGGGTAAAATACTTGGTAAAATGTTCTTGGTGGTTCCTAACTTCTTTCCTCGTGATAGACCGAAGGTAGTTTATATTTTACAGGCATGTGTTCATTTAATAACGTAAACAAAGTTACAAAAATTACAAATTGTGACTGAATATTTAATATATTCTACGATTAATATAATAATACTATTATTTCGTTTTGTACAAGTGCACATTCATTATGTTTAACATGTATTTATCATATTTCCTTGTATCGCAAATGCATACAATCTCCAGTTTACTCGCGACCAATTCGAATGATTACAAACTGAGGAAAGGAAATATATTATACACGTTTCAATTAGAATTTTGAGAAGAGTTCTACTTTTACGCCGCGCGATTCACAATTATTACATTCTGAAACTTCGGAGCGTTTCCTTGTTTGCTTGGAAACTGACGTCTTTGATCCTCGAACGACCAATCGGGGCCCTTGTTTGCCGCCCTCGATGCCTCGACGTCTCTTTGTCCCGTTTCGATATTCAAATCGAATTTTTCGCGAAAACCTGGCCCGCGAAGACAAAGGCAACCCCTGGGGGACGAACAAGATGGAGGAAAATATCTCGAGACACATTACGCTCCTCGGT